ATATATATATATATATATATATATATATATATATATATATATATATATATATATATATATATATATATATATATATATATATATATATATATATATATATATATATATATATATATATATATATATATATATATATATATATATATAAGAATTCATATGGGGGGATTCTTCTATTGGTGGATCGAGATCTGTTGGTGGCAAGTCTTTATTTGCCAAGTGAGGTTCTGGTGTCTCTTACACTACACTTTCTGTTGGTTCTTTTGTGTCAGCATTGGTCTCCTTGTTGCTTGAAATCAAATTTTCAGCGTTGAGTTCAGTTGTGGCATTGTTTATTGTGGAAACATCATTCGAAATCTGATTTATTTGGGCCAAGGATTGTTGTCACAGTTTTTCATAGCATGTACCATTGGGAAGTGTATTCTTAGAAAGATTGTCAGCATCGTCAATTCCTTTAGTAACAGCTTCAGTAGCAACAGCTTTGGCCTCATGAATTTGTTTTGGCTCCTTGAAATTCAATGGGAGCTGCAGAATGGGTTCCTTCATTAACAACAGCTCTAGCTCCATCAATGGTTTTGGCTCCTTCAACTCCATATTGAGTTGTAGACTGGGTTCCTTCAACTTCGTCAATGAAGTCCATTTCATTTGGAATTTCAGTAGCAAAGTTGGTGTTGGCTCCTTCATCAGTAGCTTCAATAATGTCAGTTTGGGTAGTAGTTTGGGTACCCATAACATCAGCATCTTCTGGTTCTAAGCCCAACTGGGCAGTAGCCAAATGGGGCTGAATTTCAGTAGCATTGACTGCATTTTCTTTTGATGAGGCCTTAACATCTGTCCTCACCTCCCTTTGGATCCATCTTGATGAGGAGTGAGATTTTTTGTAGTTTTTGTGGCCATATTTCCTACAAGAGGTGCAGAAGGCAGGAAGGTCTTCGTAGTGAATGGGTTGTAAAAAAGAGAGCTTCCCAAGGTGAATCCACACAGAGTTTGGCAGTTCCTTGGACAAGTCCAGTTCCACACATACACGAGCTACGGATGGTCTGGTTAATTGGATAGTAGCATTGTCTGCTTTTAATGGTTTCCCAATCAAATTGGCAAAGGAGTACAAAGCAGTAGAATCAAATATATGAATTGGTAGACCTTCCATTCCTATCCAGACAGGTAGTAATGGCGATTCAACAGTGGGATCAAATTCAGGAGTCCATCGAAATACATTTAAAGAATAACCATTGATCTTCCAATTCTTTCGCAGAAGACATCGCAAGAAATCATTGTATGAAACGAAGTTAATCAAAATGTGTTGATCATCTAGCAAGGAGACAGTAAATGCAGCTTCATATCCAATTTTATCGAATACCTGGCGAATTGTTGCTAGATTAGGCCTACCGTTGTTGAAACTTCCCACCAAAGCTAGGTTAAATCTTGCAGCCAAACGTTTAACCTCTTCATCAATAAAAGAAATGGATGGTGACCCTTTAAAACGAGATACCGGTTTGAAATTCCCAGAAGCTTCGATGTCACTAAAATATATATCCATGGCGAAGAGCAGCTTGCAGCGGAGATTAGATCGGGAATCGCCATTTTCGCCAAAGCAGATCTAGAGAGAAGGACGCCATTCATAATATATATATATATAATATATATATATATATATATATATATATATATATATATATATATATATATATATATATATATATATATATATATATTAGCCCGAAAACTCCACCAAAGATAGTGGGGTAAGGTCCAGGCCGCCCTTACCAATAACATTAAAGTCGAGTAAGTACACGTTCGGGGAGGACTAGACCAGAGCCCCGAAAGTAAGAAAGGATACGAGTTCGGGGAGGACTATACCAAAGCCCCGAAAGCAAAAGCCAAAAACAACAAAATAATAAGTAAAGGTAGATGAGACAAAAGAGGAAGGAATTCTTTCGTCCCTCTGCGTCAACTTCTAACCCCATATCTAGTTCGATTAGTTGAAGAAGAGACTAACAGGTGTGTCTTCTTTCTTTGCAATGTTCTCTGGCAAGGTAGGGTTTGAGGTTCAATGCTTCAATCTCTTCCTTAATAGCAATGGCCTGAGCTTTTTTATTCGACCAAAACCAGTGTTGAATTAGTTTTTGGATTTCAATGATAATCCCCACCTTTGTTGGTTTGTGATCCTCATAAATGCATCTATTGTAAGTCTTCCATAAGATCCATAGTATACATCCAGGAAGGATTAGCTTGAGTAGACCACGGAGAGATGTTTTTTTAAAAGTGACCCACCATTGTACAAGGTAATCCCTTAGCTCTGTTTCTTGATTCCAAACTGGTCCTCCGATGTAGTCTGCAAAGGCTTTCCAGATGCTTTGTGCCATCTCACATGTAAGTAGCGTGTGTTTATCCGTAGCTTCAGCCTTGCCACATAATAAGCACTTACTAGGCAGGTTAAAATTCAGTTTGTTGAGAATATTGGGAAAAGGGAGAAAATGGTTCAAAGCTTTCCAAGTGAAAAGCTTAACCTTAGAAATCTGGAATTTGTTCCAGTTAAGGGTGAAAAGCTGCTCACTGATATTTCTTTCCCTTACTGCCCAGTAAGCCTCTTTGAAGGAGAATTCTCCATTGATCCAACTGTAGGTGTGATTGGACAGGGTAGTATTCTGGAGACCTATGTGAGAAATTCTGCAAATTCTCTTCCAGGAGGAAGAGTCATATAATTTGGCTTCGAAAAGAC